GAAGGGGACAGAGAGCGGAAATGGGGAGGGTTTCAGATGGGAGGGAAGTCATGGGGGGGGAGCCAATGTAATCCATAAGCTGTACTTTGGAAATTTATATTCATTAAATAAAAGTTTTAAAAAAAGAGTATATGGAATTAATTTTAATTAGGACAATATCACAAGAAGTATGGAATTAAATTGCATGTTAATTTTGGTGTAAAATTTTATTGAAAAACATGCATGGTTATTTCATACTAAACAATGTCCATGAATTGTAAGGCCTTTGCATTTATGGGTTTAAATATATTTCAACCCAAATGAACATATTTCAATTTCATGTTCCAGAAAATATGTGAAACCCCCTCATATTTGTTCATTTTATTTTCTGCCATGAGGCCCAAATTCAGTCTGCCCAGTCCTGTCTCCTATTTTCAGTGAATAGTCTATGCTTTGTGCTGTGTTGCAAGTTATGTAATCATAAGCACATTCTAATATAAACACATTTCCATTAATCCCAAATGCTTCATATTATCTATAGCACTCCTCATTTACCATCAGCCCCAGCACAGGCATTAATCTAAACCTATCTCCAGAGATTGACCTTTCCTGGACATGTCTTAATGGGAAATGGGATGTTAGAGTATATGGGGATGGCTTTGCATTTCTTCCCTTTCTTTGTCTTTTGAATTGCATTATTTTGTGATCTATAATTTGATTGTCAAATTGTATAGCAGTATAAAAGATATACTAAACATTGCTTTCTTTACATATCAGTATTTGGGTTGCTTTCACATTTGGTTTCATAAATATTGCTTCAGTATTCATGTGCCTGTGGATTGTGTCTCTCTTAGTGGCATGCCTGGCAGAGAAACTGCTGAAGCAATAAATAATCCCATGTAGAAATTGCTTGGAAACTGCCAAATTATTTTTAGAGTGGCTGCAATATTTTACTGGAAATGTATGAGGGTTCCCTGTTCTCCACATCCATGTCAACATTCATCTATAGTGAATCAGAGTCATTTGACTTAATAAGAAGTGTTATTTCCCTAAGGTTTTGATTTACATTTCCACAATGATTTATATTAAGTATAGTTTTTTAAAAGATTTATTTTATTTTTTTGAAAGACAGAGTTACAGAGAGAGGTAGAGACAGAGAGAGAGGTCCTCCATCCACTGGTTTACTCCCCAGATGGCTGCAACAGCCAGAGCTGTGTTGACGCAAAGCCAGGAGCCAGGAGCTTCTTCTGGGTCTCCCACATGGATGTAGGGACCCAAGGACTTGAGCCATCTTGCACTGCTATCCCAGGCCATAACAGAGGGCAGGATAGGTAGTAGAGCAGCCAGGACTAGAACCGGCACCCATATGGGATGCTGGCACTTCAGGCCAGGGCTTTAACCCACTGCAACACAGCACTGGGCCCAGAAGAATATACTTTTGCAGTATTAAAATCTCTTACTGAAATCAATGCTTCATTTAAAAATTGTATGTTTTTTTTTGTAATTTTTCAGTATAAAATTCAAGTTTTGTGGGGCTGGCGCCATAGCTCACTTGGTTAATCCTCCACCTGCGGCACTGGCATCCCATATGAGTGCCAGGTTTTAATCCAGGTTGCTCCTCTTCCAGTCCAGCTCTCTGCTGTGGCCTGGGAAGGCAGTGGAGGATGGCCCAAGAGCTTGGGCCCTGCACCTGCATGGGAGGCCAGGAGGAAGCACCTGGCTCCTGGATTCGTATCGGCATAGCTCTGGCCGTAGTAGCCATTTGGGGGCAGAGCCAACATAAAAAAGACCTTTTTCAGCTGGCACTGTGGCCCAATAGGCTAATCCTCCACCTTGCAGCGCCGCACACTGTGTTCTAGTCCCGGTTGGGGTGCCGGATTCTGTACCAGTTGCCCCTCTTCCAGGCCAGCCCTCTGCTGTGGCCAGGGAGTGCAGTGGAGGATGGCCCAGGTGCTTGGGCCCTGCACCCCATGGGAGACCAGGAAAAAGCACCTGGCTCCTGGCTCCTGCCATCGGATCAGCGCGGTACACCGGCCACAGCGTGCCGGCCGTGGCGGCCATTGGAGGGTGAACCAACGGCAAAGGAAGACCTTTCTCTCTGTCTCTCTCTCTCACTGTCCACTCTACCTGTCAAAAAAAAAAAGTAGCAGTCTTATTCCCATTTTACAAGAGTTTATTGTAAATTTCCCATAGGTGCCCTTTCTGTGGTGGAAGTTTGCCTCAGTTAACAGTTTATTTGGGGTTTTAATCATAAATTGAATTTAGTCAATTTTTTTCTTTATTGATGAGGTTATCAAATCTTGATTTTCTGATTATTACATTAAATATTTACACTTAATATTTTTATTTTTTAATTTGAGAGGCAGAGAGAGCTAGAACCCCTATCTTCTGGTTCACTCTGCATATGTCTGCAATGACAGGTCTGGACTGGAAACAAAATCCTGGCCTCCAATGTGGGTGACAGGGTCCCAGTTACATGTCCCATCCCCACAGCCTCCCATATTTTCCATTGGCAGGCAGCTGGTTTCAGAAGCCAGAGGTGAGAGTTGAACATAAACACTGTAGTATGCAATGAAGATATCTTACCCAGACTCTCAACTGAGACCAAATCTGTGCCTGTATGTCTGGTTTTGTTCAAATATCACACTTTTTAGATTACATTTGCTTTTGAATTAAGAGAATGTGAGGCCTTTAACTTTGATCTTATGTTCAAGAATATTTGGGTATTTAAATACTTTGACATTCCATATTAATTTTCTGTATAGTTTTTTAAATTTTTGACTAAAATAACTATTGGGATATTATGAAGAATGATATGAATCTGTAGATCACTAGGAACATTGATTTATTATATATATTTTATAATCCATGAACAGAGTGTATATATACACATTTATTTGTGTGATCTTTAATTCATTTCAGTAATCTTTTATAGTTTTCAATGTTTAGGTATTTTATTTCCTTGGTTAAGTTTATTCCTAAGTATTTTATTACCTTTGGTGCTTTTGAAATTGAATTGTTCTCTTGATTGCTTTAATTTATTTATTTTTAATTTTTTATTTATATAAGGTGAACAAATTTCATGTGTTTCATATATTCAGATTTAGGAACAAATTGATACTTCCTATCCTACCCTCTCCTGCTCAGGCTCCCAACCTTCTTCCCTCCATTATGATTTTACTTTTAATTTTTACAAGACATACTTTCAGTTTATGTTATAATCATGTTTGACCCTCCACAAAGTGAAGGATTCAAGAAATAGAATGTAGAAGAAAACCACTGTTCCTTGAGAGTAAAGAAAATGTTATAAACAATAATCTCAAAATGCAAATTTTGCTCCTACACATTACAGCTTTTATACTCTGTATATTAGTAATATATATCAAGGAAAACATACAATATTTGTATTTTTTGAGACTCACTTATTTCACCAAGCATGATGGATTCCAGTTGCATCCATTTTATTGCAAAAGACAGAATTTCATTCTTTTTTGTGGCTGAGTAGTATTCCATAGTGCATAGATACCATATTTTTTTATCCAGTCATTACTTGATTGGCATCTGGGTTGATTCCATATCTTAGTTATTATGAATTGAGCTGTAATAAACATGGGCATACAGGTAGCTTTAATATGCCAATTTAACTTCTTTTGGGTACATTCACAGTGTGGGATGGCTAGGTCATATTGTAGATATACTGTCAGATTTCAGAAGAATCGCTATACTGACTCTAGTAAAGGTTGCACAAGTTTACATTCCCACTAAAAGTGTACTTGGGAACTTTTCTCCCTACATCCTCACCAGCAGTCATTGCTTCATATTTTTTGTATGAGAGCCATTCTAACTCTGGTAAGGTGTAACCTCATTGTGGTTTTTATTTGCATTTCCTGGCCAACAGCCAAGAGTTTCTTCTGGGTCTCCCACAAGGGTGCAGGGGCCCAAGGACTTGTGCCACTTCTACTGTTATCCCAGGCGATAGCAGAGAGCCGGATCAGAAGTGGAGCAGCCAGGACTTGAACTGGCACTCATATGGGATGCCAGCACTTCAAGTCAGAGCTTTAACCTGCTGTGCCACAGATAGGTGCAGCTTCGGCCATTGCAGCCATCTGGGGAGTGATCCATCAGATGGAAGATCTCTCTGTGTCTGCCTCTCTCTAACTTTGTCTTTCAAATAAATAAAATAAAGCTTAAAAAAAAGAATAACTAAAAAAACCTGTATGGTTATCTCAATAGATGCAGAAACCATTTGATAAAATACAACACTCTCTCAGGATGAATAAACAAACAGTTTTCATTCTTCTATTTGTTATTGTGATGTGTCACATTTGTTAATTTGCATATGTTGAACCATTCCTGCATACCAGGGATACCACTAGGCCCAAGTGAACAATCATATTTTGTTCATCTGTGATACTGGTTTATAATTCTCTTTGTTGTATGTTTTTCTGGTTTTGGAATTAAGGTTATGCTGGTCTCATAGAAGCAGTGTGGGAGAATTTCCTCCATCTCAGTTGTTTGAAATAGATTGAGGGGAATTGGAATTCATTTTTTTTTTTAAAAGTTTGGTAGAGCTCAGCATGTTACCATCCAATCCTGGGCTTTTTCTATGTGGGGAGGGTCTTTATTTCTTATTCAGTCTCCATCTTGGTTATTGTTTTGTTTAGGTTTTCAGTGTCTTCATGCATCAATGTTTGGTAGTTTGTGCTGTCTATGAATCAATCCATTTCTTCTAAATTTCCCTATTTGTTGGCATATAGCTTTTTTCATAATTTCTGATGAATTTTATTTCTGTGGTATCTAACATTTCCTTTTTATTTCTGAATTTATTAATATGTGTCTTCTCCACTCTTTTTTTTTTAAATTATTTAGGCTTGTGGTGCATCAATTTTAATTTTTTCAAAAATAATTGCTCTTCATTTCACTGATCTTTTGTTTCTTTTTTGTTTCAATTTTATTTCTTCTTTAATTTTAAGAATTTCTTTCCTCATACTAACTTGTGATTTGGTTTATTGTTTTTCTAGGTTTTTGAATGGATTGTTAAATCATTTGTTTGATCCGTTTCCAATTTTGAGGTAAGCACTAATTGCTATAAACTTAACTCTCAGAATTGCTTTTGCTGTATATCATAAGTTTTGACATGTATGTTGTCATTTTCACTTCTTTCCTGTAATTTTTTATTTACTTTTTGATTTCTTCTATGACCCACAGTTCATTCAGGAGCAGGCTGTTCAGACTCCATGTGCTTGCATGCTTTCTAGAGTTTCTTATGTTCTTAATTTTCAGATTCATTCCATTGTGGTCAGAAAAGATACATGGTATGATTTCATTTTCTTTTAATTTGCTGAGATTTGCTTTATGGCCTAACATATGATCTGTCCTAGAAGGAGTTCCATGCACTGGTGATAAGAATGTGTATTCTGCAACTATGGGATGAAATGTTCTGTATATGTCAATTCTGTCACTTTGGTCCATAGTGTAGATTAGTTGTCTTCTTTGATTTTTCTTTGTCTAGTTGTCCTGTGTATTGATGTAACTGTGATATTGCTGTCACCCATTACTATTGGATTGAAGTCAATGTTTCTGTTAAGATCCATTAACCTTGGTTTTTAAATAATCAGGCATTGGGGCTGGAACTGTGGCAAAGCAGGTTAAGCATTCCATATGGGCACTGGTTTGAGACCTCACTGTTCCACTTCTGATCCAGCTCTCTGCTGTGGCCTGGGAAAGCAGTAGAAGGTGGCCAAAGTCCTTGGGCCCCTGCATCCATGTGGGAGACCCAGAAGAAGCTCCTGCCTCCTGGCTTCTGATTGGCTCAGCTCTGGCCACTGGCCATTTGAAGAGTGAACCAGCAAATTAAAGAACTCTCTCTCTCTCTCTGTAGCTCTGCTTTTCAAATAAATAAATGAATCATAAAAAAATGAAAAGCAATCATACACCTGGCATTGGGTACATATACATTTAACATAGTTTTATCTTTCTGTTGGATTGATTCCTTCATTAATACAAAATGCCTTTCTTTGTCTTGTTTAATAGTTTTTGCTTTAAAGTCTGTTTTGCATGATATTATCATGGCTAATATTTCTCTTTTTTACTTTTTGTTATCATGGAATATCATTTTCCATCCTTTAACTTTCAAAGTCTGTATGTATCTTTGTAGCCGAGATGTGTTTATTACAGGCAGTAAAAAATGGATCTTGTGTTTTAATACATTGAGCTAGTCTGTATCTTTTTTTTTTAGATTTATCCCTCCACTTGAAAGTCAGAGTTACACAGAGAGAGAAGGAGAGGCAGAGAGAGAGAGGTCTTCCATCTGCTGGTTCACTCCCCCAATTGGCTACAATGGCTGGAGCTGTGCCAATCCAAACCCAGGGGCCAGGAGCTTCTTCAGGTCTTCCTCATGAGTGCAGAGGCCCAAGGACTTGGGCCATCTTCTACTGCTTTCTCAGGCCATAGCAGAGAACTGGATTGGAAATGGAGCAGCAGGGACTTGAACCAGTGCCCATATGGGATGCTGGCACTGCAGGCAGCAGCTTTGCCTACTACACCACAGTGCCGGCCCCTTGATTTATTTTATTGTTTTTCTTTTGGGAACTTCATGGTTTTATGATTGAGTTAATCTTACTCCTTATTGTGATGCATGCTCACCACTTATCTAGACCGTATATGTAATTACTAACAGTTTTCACTGGGCACAACTAGTTTACAAAAGTCTCACACACTAACATGACATGCAAGAAGTTGTAGCTCATACTGATTATTAATACAGGACTGAGTTTCACCTGAATATGAAATGAAGCTGTTAGTTTCTCCAGACTCCTTCACAATGTATTTTGCTGTCACTTGCTGCTATTCAGGGGTATTAGATTGTGGCCTGTATATTCCTGCTATTTTTCTGTGCCTCCGCGGTTCCCCCAACCTCCCTTGGGCCGGGACAAGGTGCAGTCCCAGGAACCCTGTGCCACCTGGCTGGCGTGTGGAGGCCCCGCCCACGGGCAGGGCAGCAAGCTCCATAGGCCCACGGCCAAGCCCGACCCTGCAGCCTGCCTGGACGGCCGGAGGCACAGAGATGGGAGGGATTCCCCGGCCAAGCCAAGGTTGGCACAGCGCACCCCCAAAGCCTCCTTTGGCACTTCCCGGGAGGATGGACCTGGCTGCTCCTCAGCTGGCTGGCTCCCTCCCTCTGGTCGGGCATTGCAAACCCAGACCCACTTCTGGTCCCTGTATTCCTAGCTCGAGAATGCGCTGTCTAGGATTCCCAGCACCTGTGGCCTGTATGCCCCCCCTCTTGGCCATTAGTAGAAGCCAGGTGGCCTCATGGCCTAACCACTGGTGTGAAGCTCCACTCTCATTCTAATGGGATTCACTGCTCCTGCTTCCCTGCCTGCCCTCCAGCTAAGTTTTAAAAGGAGCTGTTCCTGAACATGTGCTTCTCTGCTCTGTCTTGCTTCCTTCTCTCCTTTCCCCTTTCCTCTCAGCTGTTCTCATCTTCTGTCTCTAGCTCTCTCCTCTCTCCCTCTTTCTCTCCATCTCCTGGCCTCTATCTCTCACATTCTCCTTCTCCTTGTTTTCCTTCTTTGCTTCTCCCCTCTGGCCTGCTGTGTTTTAGTCAATAAATCCTTTCCCTTACTCCAGTGTTTGGTGTGTTTTGTGGTGACCTTACAATAAGGGAATCTCCACGAGAAGGAGACCTGAAAAATGGATGGAGTTTTTTAACTGCAATTTGGATGAGCAGAATAATCACAGCTAACAATCAATCAGAGGCTGGGGACAAAATCCTGTCTAGTTTGCTCTTGTAAAACAAAAATCCAGCTGAATAGTAGGATAGGCACATTCTTTCTATTCTCATGATAAAACTAGAAGCTCAGAAGGGTGGGATCATTGCTTCCTGGATATTCTCATGATAAAGCTAGAAACTGCTAATAGACAGGTCCTGGGGAGAAGCAAGCATCTTGTCCACTCTTACAAGGACTCCCCATTAGGTCATCTAGTCCTTACACCAGCACCCCCTGCCTTAGAACCTCTTTATAAACCCCCAATCACCCTCCTCCAACAGCATGGTAGTCCTAATGAAAGCACCCTACATTCCCCTCATCTTGTGAGTAATATTTGCAGAAGAGTTTCAGAAGCCTACAGAAAAAAAGGAGATGATTTGGAAGGGCAGGCTTTTGACCCAGCTGACAGAGACCCTCCCCCCAACTGAGGCAGAATGCACCTCCCACCTGACACCCTGGACTCCCCTGACTGGCTGGTGGGAGCTTCCTCAGAACAAAGTCTGAAAATCTGCATAATTATCAATTGAATAGACTCATTGTTTTATTTCAAGCCTGGTGCTCCAATTACCCCTGTCCCTTTAAACATCCTCTGTGCTGCACAGTTTGGTAGCAAAAGGCTTCTTTGGTTTGAGAGGACTTTCTTTCCCAAGACTGTAGCTGCCTTCTGGAAATACACCCTTTCCTCTGGCCAGCACTCAGCTATGGCGAATTGAAGCGGTGAGCATCAAGAGCCAGATTATGTGTCTGGAAACAACATTGGTGAGCTAGCCCAGAAGTCTGCAATGTATTGTTGTTGTTTTTTAAAGATTTTATTTATTTATTGGAAAGTCAGAGTTACACAGAGAGGAGAGGCAGAGAGAGAGAGGCCTTCCATCCAATGATTCACTCCTCAATTGGCCATAATAGCTGGAGCTGCACCCATCTGAAGCCAGGAGCCAGGAGCTTCTTCCGGGTCTCCCACACAGGTTAGGGGCCCAAGGACTTGGGCCATCTTCTACTGCTTTCCCAGGCCACTGCACTGAGCTGGATGGGAAGAGGAGCAGCCGGGACTAGAACTGGTGCCCATATGGGATGCCAGCGCTTCAGGCCAGGGCATTAACCCACTGAACCACAGCACTGGCCCCTGGAATGTATTTTTCAAGTGGCTTAACCCTTTCACATTAGTAAGGAGGGCAATGGTCACTTGTACCTCCACCCCAGAGCTGCTCTTGAGCTAATATTTTAGCTGGGACTCTGGGGACATCCCAGCAGCTTCTGAGAGCACTTTCTCTCTGGGACTTTCTTTTATCTTCCTGCTGTGCATTAGCTACCTTGTGGGGAGTCCATGGCTCCCCTTTGTGTCTGGAGTCAACAGCTCAGAGACTGGGTAAGTTGAACCAGGGGCATACCTGCAATTTCTGCCTCTGCTCTTTGGGCTCATGGCATTTGGACCTGGTTTAGGTCATTTTTTGTGATACTGGTGTGTGGGAGACAGATTCTAAGATTTTTACTTCAGCCTCCCTGTGAGGAAATTTGGATATTTTTTGGAAGAGTACTCATTTGATTGTTTGTATGAGGATTTCTTCCTCTTTGGTGAAATATGAGTGGTTCAATTTAATTTCCATCCAAAATCACCTTGAGTTGCATCGTGGCTGATTGGGCAAGATATAGTCAGGATCTATGACTAAGAAAAAAATGGTGTTCTATTGCAATATTGCATGGCCTGCATATGTGTTAAATTTAAGAGAAGGTGGTTGTTAAGTGGAATTTTTAAATGTTTATTTTATTTGAAAAGCAGAATTACAGAGAGGCAGAGGCGGGGGGGGGGAGGGTGTCCTGTTAGGAAAAGAGTCACAGAATAGAGAGGAGGCAGTGTACCAATTTATATCCAGACCGAATTTATTCAGAGAAAATAAATCCGTAGAGATGGGTAACCAACTGCCACTGTCAATGTGCCCATGATGGAACACCTGACAGAAGGCCCTGACCCCCAGGGAAGGTGGGGGATGGGGGTGAGGTAGGGGGCAGCAAGCAGAGGGGAATTCCTGGAACTGGTCTTTCAGGTGGCTGTAAGGGGTGGAGTATGAAGACAATAGAGTGTGAGACCCAATTCAGTTTTTTTTTTTTTTTAATTTATTTATTTACTTGAAAGTCAGAGTTACACAGAGAGGGAGAGAGAAGGCTTCCATCCTCTGGTTAACTCCCCAGATGGCCACAATGGCCAGAGAGGTACATCGATCTGAAGCCAGGAGCCAGGAGCTTCTTCTGGGTCTCCCACATGGATGCAAGGGGCCCAAGGACTTGGGCCATCTTCCATTGCTTTCCCAGGCAATAGAAGAGAGCTGCATTAGAAATGGAGCAGCCAGTGAAGTAGGCAGGCATACAGGTTAAAATTGATCAGATTTATGAACTGGAAGACCACGCCTTCACCACGCTGCTGTGTGACCTCATCCCCCTACCTGGCCACACCTGGATGCCCACCAGCCAATCAGGTTAATTAACCACTCTCCTTTGGAAGTGGGTTAAAAGCCGGGCCACCCCTTGGCACAGCCAGCTTTTTTTCCCTGGCCTCTTGCTAGGAAGGGGGATTGCTGTAGCCCCACACCTCCAGGGCACATGGCCTTTGGGCCATGTGCTCTAGGCTTCCTGGCCTAGATGCTCATCCACATGGCTGGTTCCTGGTGCTTGGTATGAACCCCTATTTACCTCTCTCTTAAATAAAGCTCTCACTCTCCTATGTATTTTTCTCACTAAATAAAAGCTTAAAATGTACCATGCTGCCTCATTTATCTGTGCTGGTATTTAGAATTCTCCTCTAAATATTAGGCAAGAACCCTCTTGGGCTTATTAATATTGGGGATTTAGTAATAAGCCCGTGGTGAAATGGTAAGGCACCCAAAATTCCAGTAGCACATGTGGCACCCTAGATAGCATTTCTAGGGAACTTTAAGGGGCCACATTTTAGTGTAAAATTTAGGGGGTCTTCTCCAATTTCACCAGAACTCAAACCAGTGCCCATATGAGATTCTTGCACTGCAGGCAGCGGCTTTACCTGCTATGCCACAGCCACAGCGCAGGCCCTCCAATTGTGTTTCAAGGACAAAGAATACATTCCAATGTTTATCTCTTTTGGGCAATGCAGGAGAATGGCTGCCCAAGCTTCAGCTCTACCTCTGAAGGGTTAAAAAGTTAAAAGCCACTCCCCCCCACCTCCTCTGGTGAACTTTCCTGACCTCGTTAGACTTGCTCTGCATAGCCATCCTCTATAAAGTTAATTAGTCAGTAAATTACCCCAATGTGAGCCTAACCTTAGTTTCACCTAAGTAAGATAGAAGAAGTCACCGTATATCTCTTTGCCTCCTGGAACCCTGACCCCACCATATGGCCCTTATCGCCATTCAGCTGCATTCCTAGGTATCATCAAGGCAGTTCCTGCAACCTTGTTGTGTTTGTTGTGTGGCCCTCCCTTTTGGCAATAGGAGGCTTTTTGATACTCCCTGTATAGGCCATATGGTTCTCTGAGGTCTAATCAGGCCCTTACTCGATATCCTGTACTCCCTGTATTCATAAATCAACTGGTTGTAAAATCACTTAACTTGTATCAATTGTTTACTCTATACCTCTGTCTGATCTATGCAATGATTGATTTTCTTTGTTTAAACGTGTATAAAAACCCCAACCCAAGACTATTTGGGGCCGCTCGCCTGTACTGGGACGGGGGCCCCGACATGTCGGATCATCAATAAACCTTACCCTTTGTTAATTGCATGAGAGAAAGTCTCTTGGAGCGGTTTTGGGGTGGCAAGAGCAATCCAACTCTAACACCTCAACCCAATAGTACAGCAGAGACCTTGGGGCTCCCTGATCTCTTAAACATCTATTGTATGGGTCAGCGCCATGGCTCACTTGATTAATCCTCCACCTGCAGCACCAGCATCCCATATGGGCACCGAGTTCTAGTCCCAGTTGTTCCTCTTCCAGTCCAACTCTTCTGTGGCCCAGGAAGGCAGTGGAGGATGGCCCAAGTGCTTAGGAACCTGCACCCACATGGGAGACCAGGAGGATGCACCTGGCTCCTGGCTTTGGATCTGCACAGCGCTGTCCCTAGTGGCCATTTGGGGGGTGAACCAATGGAAGGAAGACCTTTTTCTCTGTCTCTCTCTCTCTCACCATCTGTCAAATAAATTTAAAAAATTTAAAAAAATCTATTGTAAATTTCCAGATGCCTCTGATAAAATTGACTATGAGGAACAAGAGTTAATAATGCAATAAAAGATGTTTCTCTAACAGAGTGCCTACTGAATATGAAATGAAGATATAATTATGTTTATGTATGTTAGTGTCCAGTACCATCACTGGGACTAGAGTTGCTTTCTGAGTTAAATGCTGAAGTAAATTTTTCAGGTTTCCACTGAGGAACAATAGGGTTAACTGAGGTTACCAATAGAGGAAATAATTATATTCAGTTGATTGGAGCTTTTAAAAAGGAATTTTAACTACACTAAAGCCATCCTCCTTCCCTTTTCCTTTTCACATTTTATATAGCAAAAACCAATTACTGATACTGTATATTGCCTGAATTACTCTGGTGAATAGTAGCATTTGTATAATGGTGGACTTTTGCCCCAGCTAACAAAGAAGCCTTCACCCAACTGATGCTGAGCCCCCTGGTTAAGAGGCCTCATCAGAAAAAAAGCTTGGGCATTTACATATTGTCAATTAAGGTGACTCATTGTTTTTATTTACCTCCCCTGAAGCTACCCTTGTCCTTTAAGAAACCCTTTAGCAGTTATGGCTTGGGATAGCAGTAGAAGATGGCCCAAGTCCTTGGGCTCCTGCACCCAAGTGGGAGACCCAGAATAATCTCTGGCTCCTGGCCTCAGATTGACACAGCTCTGGCCATCACAGCCAATTGGGGAGTGAACCTTTGGATGAAAGACCTCTCTCTCTACCTCTCATTCTCTGTGTAACTCTGACTTTCAAATAAATAAATAAATCTTTTAAAAATTTAACCTGTAACAGAGATATTACATTTTATATCAAGAGCTCTCTCTCTCTGGGGTTGTACTGTGGCATATAGAGCTGGACCTCCACCTGTAGTACCACCATCCCATGTGGGTACCATTTCATGTCCCTGTTGGTCCTCTCCTGCTCTGGATCTCTGCTTTGTGGCCTGGGAATGTGGTGGGAGATGCCCAGGGGGGCTTGGGACCCAGTACCCGTGTGGGGGATATGGGGGAGGCCCTGGCTCCTGGCTTTGGATCAGACCAGCCCTGGCCATTGTGGCCATTTTGGGGGTGGTCTTGCTGGTAGAGGACCTTTCTCTCTGGCTCTCCCACTCTCTGTGGCTCTGTCTCTCAAATGAATAAATAAAATCTTTAAAAAAGAGAGATATTTCTTTCCCCAAGATGCCAGCTTGTAGAAATAAGCTCTTTCCTCTTATCAACATTCATATCTGTACAATTGGCTACCCACATGGTGAGTCATAGGGCCTGATTAAAAGATTTAAAAAGAATTGCAGAGATTTCTCTATTTTTCTGTGTCATAATGTATGCTATGCATTATATGTGTGTACTGTTGTATGTGTAAAAGTTGGTTGTGCTTATTTGTGTGATTTAAAATCACAACGTAATTTTCACCTAAGCACAAACAATAGATGAAAAGATGATGCAATGTTCATTGCTTCCTATGAAGTCCAATTTAAAGTTGTTCTTTGGCAAGATCATGACTTAAGAGATTAGCCATACTTATCTAATGTTTTAGTTTCTCAGGCACTGTAAGTATAATTGCCAAAAAATGAATTGGTGGTCTTTGCTGTGGCACCTTGTGCATCATCAGGTCCCTGCAACCTAAGGGATGTCTCCCTCTCCTCACCTTCCTGAGAAATGGACTCAAGTGTACACTGACTGGAGAGGAGGTAGAGAAGATAATGTAGCAGTGCTGGGTCAGAATCCACAGCAAGGTTCAAGCTGATGCTGCAAGCCTTGCTGGATTCATGGATATGTGTGAGATGGAGCAAACATCAGCATCAAGCCAACAGGTGAGCATTTCTGCCTGATCTTTGACACCAAGGGGCCATCTTGCTGTTCACTACATCACAGCAGAAGCCACGTGGTGGCAGACATGAGCTGGAGGTGGTATACAAACTGAACACACACTGAAGAGAATGCGCAGTACAAGCTGTGCAAGGTGAGGAGGATGACTGTGGGTACAAAGGGAATCCGACTCCTGATGGCCCATGATGCTTGTGCCATGCGCAACCCAGATCCTCTCCTCAAGGTGATCACGGGATGGATTACTGATTTGGGGCCCCTATCCAATTTGACATGAGGTAATGAACCTCAGGTTTTCCTGCCCAGGGATAAGAGCATCTCTGACTTACAGTGGCTGCAGAGAGATAAAGCAGTGTAGCAGCTAGAGAGACCAAGGGCTACTCTGCAGTAGGATGACTTTTTTTTTGAATTGCTAAGTGTAAAAGATAGAGTTTTCTAAATACATGTACACTTGGCTTCTTAAAATATATAGAAGGCATTGGGCCTTTTGGTAAATGTTTTCATAAGTTGTTAACATATAACTGTTCAATATTACCTGCTAAGTTTTCACTAAACAGTAAGTTACCAAGGATAAGAAATAATTTTTTAAGATTTATTTATTTTAATATTTGCAAATCAGAATAACAGAGAGAGGGAGAGGAGAAGGAGAGAGAGGGAGAGAGAGAGAGAGAGAGAGAGGGGTCCTCCATCCACTGGTTCACTCTCCAGATGGCTGCAATGGCTGGACCTTGCAGATATCAAGCCAGAAGCCAGGAGTCTCCTTCCACTCACCCACATGGGTGCAGGGGCTAAAGGATTCTGGACCACCTTCCACTGCTTTCCTAGGTCATTAGCAGGGAGCTGGATTGGAATGGAGCAACCAGGACTTGAACCAGTGCCCTTATGGGATGCCAGCACTCCAGCACTGCAGGTGGAGGCTTAACCTACTATGCCACAGCACCAGCCCCAATAAGAAATAATTCTAAGTCAACATCCCAAAGTTTAGAATTTTTGAAAGATTTATTTATGTATTTGAAAGGCTGAGTGAGAGAGACAGAGGCAGACATCTTCCATCTACTGGTTCATCCCCAGATGTCTGTAATAATCAAGCACTGGGCCAGACTGAAGGCAGGAGCCTGGAGCTCCATTCAGGTCTCCTACATCAGTAGCAGGGGCCTAAACACTTGTGCCATTTTCCTCTGCTTTTCCCAGGCCATTAGCAGGGAGCTTGATCTGAGGTAGAGCAGCTGCAATATGAACCAGTGCCCATATGGGATGCCAGCATCACAGGTGGTGGCCTTACCCATACATCACAACACTGGCCCTGACATTAAAAATTTTCAAAGTGGGGGGCAGAATCATCGGTTAAATGCAGTCTATCATACCTGCATCCCATAAGAGTGCTTTTTTAAGTCCAAGCTGCTGCACTTCTAATCCAGCACCCTGCTAATATGCCTGGGATATCAGAAGATGGCCCAAGTGCTGGGACCCCTGCCACACATGTGGGAGAACCACATGGACTTCCCTGACTTCTGGCTTCAATCTGTCCCAGCTCTGGCTGTTGTAGATGGATGGGGAGTGAACCAGATGGACAATCTCTTTCTCATTGGCTTTATTTTCTGGAATTCTGTCTTTCAAATAAATAAAACTAGGATTTAGTCCCCTATGTTAAATCAGTAAAGTTTTTTTTAGAAAATATAAATAATGATAAATATTTGCTAGAGGTGTTTAATATTTGATTTTAAAGTCTAATAACTTTCTAAAAAAAAAGATTTATTTATCTGAAAGGCAGAGATACAAAGTGAGAAAGAGGAAAAAAAGAGATCTTCCATCCAATGACTCACTACCCAAATGGCCTCAATGGGTGGGGGTTGGGTCAGGCAGGAGCCAGTAAGCAGGAGCTAGGAGCGCCTGCTGAGTCTCCCACACAGGTGCAGGGACTCAAGTACTTAGCCCACCTTCCTCTGCTTTTCCCAGGTGCATTAGCAGAGAGCTGGATCAGAAGTAGAGCAGCTGGGACTCAACTGAGCCAGAGTCCACATGAGATGCTGGCACTGAGGAGGAGGCTTAACCTTCTATACCACAGTGCCTAAAATTTTGAGAGAGAGAGAGAGAGAGAGAGAGAGAGAGAGAGAGAGAGAGAGAGAGGGGGAGAGGGAGAGGGAAATGTCTTCCATCCACGGGTTCACTCCCCAAATGGCCGTAATGGCTGGAGCCAATCCAAGAGGAGCCAGGAGCTTCTTGTGGGTCCCCCATTCTCAAGCACATCTTGTACTGCTTTCCTAGGATTAGCCTACTACGCTCCAGTGCCTGGCCCCTCTAATAACATTTTCAACCATCTTCTCAACTGCAGCTTCTTACAATTTCCATTTGATTGACTCCTTTCCAACAACTAGCCATCTCTTATAAGCTATTTTCTCCTCCTTTATTGTTTAGTTATGGCCTGTCATGAGAAATGCTTGTCTTTACAGCTGATATTGTGGCACAGCGGGTTAAGATGCTGCCTGTGATGGCAGCAACCCATATGGGCACTGGTTTGATTCCTCATGGCCCACTTCTGATTCATCTCCTAGCTAATGCACCTGGGAAAACAGGAGAGGATGGCCCAAGTCCTTGGGACCCTGCACCCATGTGGGAGACCTGGATGAGTCTCCTGGCAGTGGCTTCTGTCTGGCCCAATTCTGGTTGTAGTGGCCATTTGGCTAATGAACTAGCCAATGGAAGATCTCTCTCTCTGTAACTCTACCTTGGAAATAAATTAATCTTGAAAGAGAAATATTTATCTCAGGAGACTGGGGATCATAAGGGTACTTGATTCTTTACACCTAATTTTTTAAAAAGCTTCATTTATTTATTTGAAAGTCAGAATCACACAGAGAGAGGAGAGGCAGGAAGAGAGACACATCTTCCATCTGCTGGTTCACTCCCCAGATGGCCGCAACAGCCAGAGCTGTGCTGATGTGAAGCCAGGAGCCAGGAGCTTCTTCCAGGTCTCCCAAGGGAGTGAAGGGACCCAAGGTCTTGGGCCATCTTCTAATGCTTTCCCAGGCCATAGCAGAGAGCTGGATAGGAAGTGGAGCAGCTGGGACTCAAACCAGTGCCCTTATGAGACGCTGGCAGTGCGGGCAGTAGCTTGACCTGCTGTGCCACAGTGCCAACCCCTACACCTAATTTCTTTAAGCTTTCTTTTTATTTGGAAGGCAGAGTTTACAGAGAGAGGGAGAGACAGAGATCTTTGGTCTACTGCTTCACACCCCAAATGGCCACAATGGCTGAACTTGAGCCACAATGGCCAGAAATCAGGAGCTTCTTCTCGGTCTCCCACCTCACTGTCAGGGGCCCAAGGACTTGGCCATTTTTCATTGGTTTCTTAGGCACATTAGCAGGGAAGTGTATCAGAAATGGAATAGTCCAGGACTACAATCAGTGCACATGTGGAAGCCTGTGTCACAGGTGGTGGCTTTTACACACCACACCACATCACTGGCCCCTACACATGATTTTTCTAGATGTATTTAAATTGTTCTATGGGATTTTTTTTCTGCTTGTGTTTCTAAGGTGTATTATTTTATTTTATTTATTTATTTATTTGAAATGCAGAGTTACAGAGAGGCAGAGAGAGAGAGAGAGGTCTTCCATCTGATAGTTCACTCCCCAGATGACCACAATGGCCAAAGCTGCACTGAGCTGCAGCCAGGAGCTTCTTTTGGGTCACCCACAGGGATACAGGGGCCTAAGGACTTGGGCCATCCTCTTCTGCTTTCCCAGGCCATAGCAGAGAGCTGGATCAGAAGTGGAGCATCCAGGACTTAAACTGACACCCATATGGGATCTCAGCACTGCAGGTGGCGGTTTTACTTGCTAAGCCACAGTGCTGGCCACTGGTGTATTCTTTTCTAAGTTTTCTCATTCTTTTATAATGCTGAATTTATATATACCTGAGAGAGAATGAGAAGTAGATGGAAATATATAGAGACGTTTTTTTTTTAAAAAAAGATTTTATTTATTTATTTGATGGGCATAGTTACCGGGAGAGGAGAGACATAAATTTTTTATCCACTGGTTCAGCCTCCAAATGGCCAAAACAGTTGGAGATGGGCTAAACCCAAGCTAGGAGCCAGGAGCTTCCTCTGGGTCTCCCAGGTGGGTTTAAGGGCCCAAGGACTTGAGCTATCTTCCACTGCTTTCCCAGGACAAAAAACAGAGAGCTGGATCAGAAGAGGAGAAGCTGGGACTAGAACCGGTGCCCATATGGGATGCTGGCGCTTCAGGCCAAGGCATTAACCTGCTGTGCCACATGCTGGCCCCTTTTTTCTGTATTTGTGTTAAGCACTATGTATTAAAAATTCCATAGATATAACCCATGGACTTGCAGTGCTATCTATCTATGAGCGCCATCTACTGCAGCTAATGGTCTTTTAATAGCTTTCTCAGGTAACCAATGACCCAGCTTCTTCAAGGCTTCCACATTTAAGCTGTGCATCAGCTGTCATTTTGACCTCAGGCTGATAGAATGGTGTCTACTGATGGTCACTGTGGCTCCAGTATTCTTTTTTATTGAACCAACCAAATAGGTGTTTTCAGGAGATTCTTTGAGTCTTGCAGGTATAAATTGTGTGCAAACAATCTTTTTTTTTTTTTCAAGACTTAAAAGTTAAGCTATTGCCTGTAGTGCCAGCATCCCATATGGGTACCAGTCTCACTTCTTTGCATCATATTCTTGTTGATTTTTTTCCCAATTTCAACTTCTTTTTTTTTTTTTTTTTTTTTTTTTTTTTTTTTTTTTTCTGACAGGCAGAGTGGACAGTGAGAGAGAGAGACAGAGAGAGAAAGGTCTTCCTTTTGCCGTTGGTTCACCCTCCAATGGCCGCCGCTGCAGCCGGCGCACCGCGCTGATCCTGGCAGGAGCCAGGAGCCAGGTGCTTTTTCCTGGTCTCCCATGGGGTGCAGGGCCCAAGCACCTGGGCCATCCTCCACTGCACTCCCTGGCCATAGCAGAGAGCTGGCCTGGAAGAGGGGCAACCGGGACAGAATCCGGCGCCCCAACCGGGACTAGAACCCGGTGTGCCGGCGCCGCAAGGTGGAGGATTAGCCTATTGAGCCACGGCGCCGTCTCAATTTCAACTTCTTGTGCCAGTGTCCACAGAGTCTTTCATGCACACATCATGGAACTGAACTCCACTTTCAACCCTCTGCGTAACCAATTAGTACTGAATTGCGTTCACGCTTCCTGTCTTTTTCTTCACTATTCTGACTACTCTATGTCTAATGGTTAGTGATCACGTCTTCTCCATTTTTCCTCCCTATCTCTCCATTCTCCTTCCAGACGTTGGCTCTTAAATTCAAATTTTCTGGGGGCTGGTGATGTTGCACCAGCATCCAATATGGGTACCCATTTGTGTCTTGACTGCTCATCTTCTGATCCAGCTCTCTGCTTGTGGCCTGGGAACATAGTGTAAGATGGCTCAAGTGCTTGGGTTCTGGCACCCACATGGGAGACTTTGAAGGAGCTCCTGGCTCCTGGCTTCTGAGTGACTCAACTCTGGCCACTGAGGCCATTTGGGGAGTGAACCAGCAGATGGATGAAATATTTTCTATCCCTCCCTCTCTGTGTCTGTAGTTGTACCTCTCAAATAAATCAATAAAATCTTTTTTTTAAATCTTGTCCCTTTTATCTGTTCTTTTTAAATTTTTATTTTTATTTATTTGAAAGTTAGAGTTACAGATAGAGGTAGAGCCAGAGAGAGAGAGGTCTTCCTTCCACTGGTTCACTCCCCAAATGTCTTCAACAGCCAGAGTTGAGCTGATCCAAAGCCAGGAGCCAAGAGTTTCTTTTGGGTCTCCCACATGGGTATAGGGGCCCGTGTACTTGGGCCATCTTCCACTATTTTCCTAGGCCATAGAAGAGAGCTGGGTTGGAAGTAGAGCAGCTGAGACTCAAACCGGTGCCCGTATGGGATGCTGGCACTGCAGGCTGGGGCTTTAACCCACTGTACCACAGTGCCAGCCCCAATAAAATCTTTAAAAAAATGCTAATCTTCTAAGATTATTTTCCATGTTTCTGTGCCCTGTTTGAGGACATAGGCAATACCTTTTATGTAAAAAATAGCAATTACATTGATTTTTGGAAGGAAATATGAAAAAGATTATATATATACTTTTGTTCATAAATAATTTTCAAAAACAGTGATTCATTCAGTTAACACTTCTTTGAACATGTTTACTGTTTTTTTCTCCTCACAGTCCAGGACCACTCACCTATGGTGCAGTTTGTAGTTCCCATCCCTTGGCCTAGTTTTTTCTTTGTCTTTTTGCCAGTGTGCTTTGCAATTTTGTATTCATGAGAATACATTGCTGAAGAGACAACCATCTATATCTTTTTTGTGAAGTGTAACCTGATGACACAAAAAATTTTTATTTACTACTTATTTATTTATTTGAAAGAGAGTTACAGAGAGAGAATGAGATAGATCTCCCATATGCTGGTTGCCACAAATTGCCACAATGGCTGAGAGAGAAGGAAGCATGGAGATCACCCATCAACTCGTCTTCTCCACAACTGCTCTACAATAGCCTGGGCTCAACCAGCTTGAGGCCTAGTGCCTACAACTCAAGCCAGGTTTGTCCCATGAATGGCAGGGTTCCAGATACTTGGCCCATTCCTGGATCTCTCCTAAGAGCACATTTCCAGGAAACTGGAATGTAGTGCTGA